AGACTAGTTTGTGGTGAAGTATGAATAGTTTGGCATCTTGACCCATTGCATTGGGGATTATCATATGGTAGTGATTAAATGCAGTACATCTCAATTTTCTTGTAAAGTAGGATGAAGAATTGCAAGTCAGGTAAGAAAACAGATGAAAGAAAAGATTGCAGGCTGGTATTGAGAAGATGACTGTTGGGTGGAGAGACAGAACTGATGGAGTTACCTGGGTCTTTGCTAGTAAGGCCGAGACAAAAATTAGAAGCATTTTAATCAAATTTGTTGGATGCAAAGAGAGGTGGTTTTTTCATCACAGGGAAGGACTTCATACAGGAAGACCTGAATGACCTTCAGGATTGATAATTCTTAACAGCACAAGGTTATGTTAAGCAGGGAAATAAGTAAAAGAGGTCAGGGAGTGTTCTCTTGGCCTGAAAACTAAGGGCTTGGGCACAGTTCAAGCCTCTGTCCAGCTGTTTCATTCACTGCCATGGGGTAGTCTGGCACTGGTAGTTATTCATATTGGGAATTTGTCACCCTGGAGTTTGTCTGTTGAAAACAGAGGTGGGAGTCTGTTGGTCCATCATCACAACATGACTCTGAGCCACTAATGTGGGTAGCTAGGAGAAAGGAAGAAGAGATTAGGAAGAGGGAAAGATTCCATCATCCAGGTGAAATGACAGGGCCAGCTTTCAGTGTTATTTCTTGCAGTGAAATCTTCCAGAGCTGCTCGATGTGGCACAAGTGCCACACTATCACTTCACGTTTTGTTCAAAAAATTGAATGTTATGTCTGCCAGATGCCAAGCACTGTAAGACATTTATTTTCAACAATGGACGCTTTTGAATGTGTTTTAGAAACCTGCCTATGATCATTTACTGTGTACAACAGAGCAAAGTCTCTCCCTGGTCCCCAGCTGTGGATCCTTTTGTGCTCCAAAGCATGAAAACTGGTAGCATCTTAGAGCATTTTAGGAGATATTTACTCAGTGCTGTGTAAGGTAACTGGTTTAGCCTTGGAGAGCACATCTGATGTAGCTGCTCAGTTGCTTCACCTCCCCAGTGAGCACAGTGCTGTAGGCTGAGGGTAGGGCTACATTGGCACTACTGACAGGCTGCTGATTAAGCCCCATTCCAGCTGCACTGTTCTCTGCAGACATAAGATCAGGAGCTGACATTTCTCTCCAACATAAGTTTTAAGGTTTAAGGAGTTTAAGCTGGGCGTGGAGCTCCAAGATCCCATATATGCTTTGCACAAAGCCAGGTAATGTTTTGTTACTGGTTGGTTGTTTTTTTGGTATTTTTTTAGTTAGGTAAATAGTCGTAGTACTTAGAGGAAGTTTTCAATTTGTTTGATTGGACCTTATTTGTTTATTGATTTGTGTTGTACTTGCATTGTGGGTTTTCAGTCCTTATCTCCAACAGACCAGTCTGTTCAGGATCAAATGAGTCGTTTTACCATGTGCATTTATATTGGTTTTTAAGTGTGTTTCATATTTCTGCCCAGTGTCACTTTACTGCTTCTCCTGGACCAACACAAAGTGATTCACAATGTGAGAAACCAGGGGTGTAATACTTTTATTTTGCTGCTACAGCTCGGCTGGGGGCATAGTTATCTTTCCAAAGCACTTGTGGGAGTTTTCTGCCCACTTGCTTGTCATAGCTTCAGGAAACAAGTCCAAAAAGCATGAAGAACAGGCTGACAATCCATCTAGCTGCATAACATGCCTCTGGCATCACTGCCATTTGTCACACCCGGTCTGCATGGGATGGTGGGGTCTGTTCTACAGCAGAGATTCTTCTGCATTCCCAGTTGAAGCATGAAAATGAACATTGCCTTGTGACTTTCTGAAACACTGTGATAACTGTTGTTGCTGCTGATTTCACTCATGGAAGTGCCTTTTAAAACTCTCAATCGTCTTTTAAAACTCACAATCCATTAGCCACAAATGATATTCCAAGAAAGCAATCCTGCTGTAATTCCCCAAGCAAAATCACAGGTATTTATCCACTTTGATGGTGGGTGTAACCTGTGTGTAATTAACATGTGCAGCAGCTGGGGAAGGATTCAATGTGGTAATTTCCTTTAATTTAGTAGCATGCACATGTGTATTCAGCAACGTGCCCCTGGTGCTCTGACAATTAGTTAATTCATCTGCTTGGCACGATGGAGAGAAGGCAACTGGTTGTGATTGAGGTAAATAAATAAAAGCATCCCACTGCTTCAGCTCAGAATCGGAGAACAATTTGCTTTTGTGTTTGACTTGTGCATACAAGGCAATACTGACGTTTTTGACAAATTGTTGCCTGACATTTTACACCTCTAGAATTGCTGTAGTGTGTAAGGACACCACGCTCTTTTTAAAGTGTCTCCTATCAGTGTGTCATTTTAACCAAACAAGCATGCAAAAAAGATAACATGAAATATTAAGGGTAGAACCAGAATGGTGTCCTCCTCTTGGCTTCACAAATGTCATGGCTTGTCACTTTAGGAAAAATTACAATGAATTTACCATCCTGGAAACAGTCCTAAACTACAGCAGCAGCAGTGGCAGATTTGTTTTATGATTAAAATACGCTTGAAAGTGTTCTTACTCCCCACTTCCAGGCAGTAGGTTTGGCAGCAGACCTGTTTAAATTGCAATGCAAGAGGAGGTGCTGTCGAGCTACTTGGTTGTTTCCTGGGCTGTGCAGTTGTGAAGAGAATAAAGTATAAGTAGTCTCAGATGATTTACAGATTATATTTCAGTAAAGTTAATGAGCTTTTATGAAAAAGCTATCACTTTGGGACTATTTTACCCATGACAAAAGTGCAGTTTGTTTATTAATTTCCTATAGTGTGGTTCTTATTCCAGGTCTCAGTTGAGGGACTGTGCCCTGTTATTCTTGATAAATACTCACCAGGAGACGGTCTGTGTGCTGGAGAACTTAGAGTAGGAGTAGAGGAGATACAGTCCTCATGGCAGAAGGGATGTGTGATGTGAAATGAATTTTCAAGATTGCACATAGAATTCGTGACAGAGCTTGGAGGCAATCTTGAGGCTCAGGACACTGCATGAGTATGAAACACTATTTTTTTTTCTCTTATGGAAACTGTCCAGAGTCTGTTGTTGCTTTTAGTACCTATTGCTTCAGTTAAAATTTATTTATCTTTTTCCAAAAGTGTCCCCTTAAGGGCAACTCTTCACCTAATTCATCTGCAATGGACAGGTTTATTTTTCAGATATTTTTGTCCACACTGTCAAAATAAGTGTGTAGGTATAAAAAGTTGTTCTGTCTCTTGTTGGACATCTCTGTGCTGTGCAGAAGAGCACAGAGCAGAATTTATCATCCAACCAGGGCTGTGCTGGCACATCTCTGTGCCCCTCCTAGTGACCCACACTTATTGTGTTCCCCTCCCAGACCAAGTGCCACTCGCCCTTTAGGTTAGAAACCTTCCCAAAAGGGAGTTCACACTCTCTATGGGACCTTCTGCAGTTCCCATGCAGCAGGACCCCCTCCACCTCTGTCCCATCTGAAGTGGAAAGAGGAGCTGGTCCAAAATGCACAGGCAGGAGACAGAAAGGACTCCAAGAAGTGGGATCCTGGGTTAGGGAGGGAGCAGCTTTTTGGCCATTGTGCTGCTCATAACATATTTCTACAAGTGTTTTGGAGCTGTGGTTAAATGTTATTTTGGAAAGGGAGTTAATTGCATGTGTTTTAAACTTGGCTGACTATTTTTAGCTGTATTCATACACACAAACCCTTCACTGATCCAGAGGAGGACCCACATGCCTATGAGGCTTTCTCTCATCTAAGTCATCCTAATAAAAGATGCTGTTTTTCCCTACAATGACTCCCATGGCAACAACACTCATACCTAACTAAACTGACAAACATCAGGAGGCATCTTCACGTGTAGAACTTGCTGTGTGCTCCATCCCTCCTGGTTTGTGTTGAGTAATTGGGAAGAGAGGAGCAGGAGTGCAAAGAGCTTGAAGCTCAATGGCACACGGTGCCTCTGGGTACATCCACCATGTCCTTCACTTACACATTCCCTGGAGACCTGAAACCCATGTCTGCCTTTTGCCTAGAACAGAGCCCTTCATTCATGAGAAATGCCCCCAGCTAAAATAGCAGCCTTATACCCACAGAAGTACTTTGTGCATCCAGAAGGAAATAAACTCTACATATAGCCCAGGCACAGGCAAATCCCACAGGGGTTGTGGTTCAGCTTCTGTTAATTGTGTGTGGGGAGAATTTAATCTTTGCTCCTTTTTTTTGTTGTTTATTTTTCTGAATTCTCTTTTCCCCCTCACTGGGCGAGCCTGCACAGTGCAGGGCTGTGTTGTACACAGGAGCTGGAAAGTCAGCACAGGTCCCAAAAGGGATACAGCTGTTAGAAAGGTCATATCCCAGCACAGGTAGTTAACAGGACAGGAACGTCATCACTCTAAAATGGTTGCTCTATTTTTGGGATTGGAGTTGCAGTCCCACAGTTGTGGCTGTGGCAGACGTCACAGGGACCTGTCAGGCATCTGGGGACTTGTGTGCTGTGCTGAGTCACATCACGTGCTGGAGGTTTAAGTACTGTACTGTAGGTGGGTGCTTAAACTCGTGAGGAAGACTTTGGGGCACCATGTTCCCTTAACTGCAGTCATTCATTGCCTTAAATAAATTCATTGCCGGTCATCTTTCGGTTGCCCGAAGAAGGAAGAGGGATGTGTGGCAAATAAAAACAGTGAAGAAAGTCCTACATTATATGTGTGATGATAATAAAATGTTTGCACACACATTGAAGTTTTTCTGTGAGACCCAGGGTGTCTTTAAGAGCACGGGGCAACAAGAGGTGCCACACACACACCCCTGCATGTGGTGGAGGCAGGCACTGGGGAGGGTGAGGTCTGGCTAATCCACCACCCCAGCAAACAGGAGTTGGCCCTGTTGAGACAAGTTCAGAGACCCTGATGGCCTGAGCTGAACTGAATTAATGTTGATTTTTCTTTTTTTTCTTCCTCTTTCTCTCCTCCTCAGGTGGAAGAAAATTACTCTGCCGGCAGCCCTTCAAAAGGCCTTTTCTCAAAAGGGCTCCAGAACCGACCTTCCAGCCCTGTTTCTGCCCCTGTGAGATCCAAACATAGCCCTGGCTCACCCAAAACAGTGTTCCCCTTCCCCTACCAGGAGTCTCCCCCACGCTCTCCACGCCGAATGAGCTTCAGTGGGATCTTCAGGTCCTCCTCCAAAGAGTCCTCCCCCAGTTCTAACCCGTCTACCTCTCCTGGGGGCATCAAGTTTTTCTCCAGATCAAGAAAAAGTAAGAAATTGCTCATGTTATTTCAGGAAGATACCTCTGGGCTTGGCCCATTCTTTACCTGCGGTAGTGAAGTAAGTGCAGATGAGGCATGTGCTAATTGTTCGTTATCGCTTTCACTGACCATGTGTTGTGGGTTTCTGACATTAGGTGTGACCTCTGCAGGGCCAGGGACACCTCATGGACACCCACACAGGGCTGAGGAGGGAAATCACCCTTCTAAGCTTTGCTTAGAAATGCTGTGTCCACGTTAGTGGGAGTTTTCTGGGTGGTTTCACTGAGGCTGGTTGGACTTCAGTGGAGACATTCCTGGGGTGTGTGGTGGAGGTGGGCACTGAAATGACATCCCTCAGGAGTGGAGGGAGACTTACTTCTGTAGATCCTATAGAGAATTTCAGCTGTTTTTTTTTTTTTTTAACTGACGTTTCTTTGTCCTATCTATTGTGGGAAGGGAAAGGGGCCTTTACTGGATGAAAGTAAATGATATGTGTTTCCAATCAAATGACCATTAAAGGGGTGTTTGAGCTCCTCTTCCAGAATGTGAAAGGCATTGGAAACCTCCATGGTTCAGAGCACTTGCCTGCTTTATATTGGGCACAAAGTTTACATCTTCAGCATCCTATGAACTAATAACACACCATCAGAACTCAGAAATGAGCAGGATTGAGAACACACTTTGATTTTAAAACTTTCTTACTGGACAAAGTTTCCCAGTGCTGGTTGACAGACCAAACCTGGTCTGCCCAAGGCATTAGTGGCTGTGGGAAGGGAGCAGGGTTACAGGGAGAATACAGAGGAATAATGTCTTGCCACAGAGGATGCTGGATTGTCAGACCACAGTTAGTCTGTGAAGAGAAGAAATAATGATAAATTGTTGGCAAATCTTTCTGACAATGTAGGTACAGAATTGGTGATGCATATACCTGTGTTGGGCTGTATGTTTCCTGCAAAGTGTTGATAGCTTTCAGTGACTTTCAAATAGCAGAGGTACCCCCTTGTTTTTTTTAATCAGGTTTTTTCTTAAAAGCATGGGATTTAATCAGAAAAAGGAATTTCATAGTGATTTTTGTGTAATAAGAACACAGCAAAACAAACACATATAGGATTTTTCTTCATGTTTATCAGAAGTTCTGCTGCAGCTTACTTGAAATGGCATCTTTTCCAGTCCTTGCCTCTACCTAAAATACTTTCAGGAGATTGAAAGTAAGAGTCAGTCTTCCTGAAGGACTCAGAGTAGGCTCCAAGCATCATTTCTCTTCAAGGACATTTGTTCTTCCCTTCTTGAAGTTTAAGTATGCTTTGTATGCTCCCCTCTTGTTCAGACCTCACCATAACTGAAATCCTTCTAAACTGTTTTTGCCAGTCCACTTAGGTTTAAATATCACATTTAAATATTGGCAATATAATGCTGATGGAGAACACAGAGAAGGGCTCAGTGCTGCACAAACAGCAGCAATACAGACTGCAGAGCAAAGCCATCCTGCGACTTTGCAATCAAGTTGCCCCAGCAGCCAGCACTATTTAAGTCCTAGGTAGGTACAACAGAATATTAAATAAAGGAATCTCTCAGGAGTCAGCAAAACCCTTTTGATAAGGTCACATCACTGCTGCAGGAGCAGGCTTGGAGTGGGGCCATGCTATATTTGAGCTAACAGAAAATACTCATGACCCTGCTGCTCCAGAGAGGGTTGCAGGAATTGCACTGGGCTTGGGTGTTCATGGTCTTTTGTTCCTAAGGCAGGAGGGACAACCTCTTGGAAAGAGAGTGATGATTACAATGATTACAGTTGATGTTTAAATTGATAACTCTTCTCTTTCTGCAGATTTTTGCAAAACAAAATGTTTCTTGCTATGTGCTTTCACATCATTTAGCTCTCTTATGGAAAGACGAATGCAGATACACACCCTTTACTACCAGAGGAAAGTAGATTTTATTCAGAATGTGCTAAACAGGGGTTCATAGTGAATTATACTCTTAGAGTTTATTACATTTAATTAACTTTTATCGAATTTTATTTAACAAAACCTTTTCAAGACTTCAGGAAAAGTATGGGTTAGCATTTCTGCTGTGTTATGTAGTTTCTCATAGGCAGTACTTCTGCATTCTGCTACTTCACAAATACACCACTACAGAATGGTAAGTTAATTGGTTCCCTGCCACTCAAAACAAAGTCTCTGTGGCTTGAACAGTATTTCCTGAGAGACAAGACTTCTCAGACACTCCTCAGACCAGATACCTCAGACCTTTACAAAGATGCTGTGCTGAAGAGCTCTGAGAAGAGCTAAACCAGCATGTGGCTCCACCTTTCTGAAGGTGCTTAAATGCTTCATTGCTCAAAATTGTCACAGCCTATGTGATTAAAATGCCATTTTCTCGAGCAGCTTGGGATAGCTGTTTTAAAAGTGGATGGGACTAGGGTTGCTTTATCATTTCTGAAAGCGTGAGTGTACTGATATCAGCTGGACTTGTGCTTCTCTGCCTTCACAGCCCTGCTGGTGCTGGGTCAATAGTATTAAAATTAAAAATAACTGTGTGCTGGACTGCACTAGGAGGAGGATCACCAGCAGGTCAAGGGAAGTCATCCTCCCCCTCTGCTCAGCACCAGTGAGACACATCAGCAGCGCTGGGTCCAGTTCAGGACTTCCCTGTACAAGAGAGACAGGGACATGCTGGTCCAGCAAAGGGTCACTGTGTTGCTCAGGGGCTGTGCATGTGGTGTAGGGGGGAGAAGAATTAAGAGGAGGTGAAGACCTTTTTGCTGTCTTCACTTACCTAGTGGGGTTATGGAGAAGACAGTGCCAGGCATTTCAGGGATAGCCAGAGAAAGTGCAGGAGTCAGCAAGGGAAACCCCAGGCATGTGTAAGAAAGATGTTCTTGGAGGAGGTGGTATGGCAGCCAGGGTCCAGAAGGGCTGTGAAATTGCTGCCCTTGCAGATTTTAGGAAGTCAACTGGACAAGATTCTGAGCACCCCAATTTAAAGTTGCTTTGAGCAGGGATCAGACCAGAGACCTGCTGACATTCCCCTCCCCCAGCCATGGATCTCCAGGGAAACTCTGCACTGGAACCTTCCCTTTGGGTTTATAGCAGATCTGTATTTTATCCAGGCAATCTGCAATTAAACAAAAAGCACTAGATGAAAATTCACAGGGACCTGGGGTTTCTTTTTGTCCCCCAGTTTACCTGAATTGAGTCTGTGCTGCACTCCTTTCCCTGTCATCATGGAGCAGTATGTGGGGGAAAGTAGATGCAGTCTTTGTTTTAAATAACATACCCTGTCTTCCCTCCACTTCCTCCTCCTACGCATTGTTCAAAACACAGACTAACCTGTTACTCCACATATTCCTTGTTTTCCTTGGAAGCAGCTTCTTCCTAGCTTGTTTTCATTTTAAAGACTATGTGTGGTATTCACAGCGCTTTCTTTCCCATGTGGTTGCTCTTTTCCCAGCTAAGTTGTTTTTCCTTTTGAATATATGCAGTTTAGGAAGGGTTAGGGTAGGACAATATTAAAACAGAAAGTGATTTGCAGACATGAAACTTAAAATATTTTCCACTTCAGGCTGGGAGTTTAAAGCTTTTTCTAATCTTTAGTATTGTATCACTGGTTTTGGCAGTAGCCAAAAGCTGAGCTTTGTGCCTTTTCGCTTTGGTTACCCCAGTTCAGCATCTGGTCATAACCTTACAGCTCTGATCTGACAAAAGATTTGCCTTGAAAGGAAAAATACCTTCCCACAACGTGTGCTTGGCTGCTAGACACTTCAGGTATTTTGTAAGTACAGCTTTGAAACAGTAAACTGATGGCTGGGGCTTCACATCCAGCATCCCTCCTTTGTAAAGGCAACAAATTCACCACAGGCCCCTCTGAAGGAGGCTCTGCAGGGACCTTTTTGGGTGAGGTGTGTGCTTGGTCAGTGGTGCAACCCCTTCATTTTTGGGAAGTTCCCTGCAGAAAAATCCAAGACATCTCTTTGCATGCTGGGTTTCTGTGCAAGTGCTCTGAAGTTTAATTCTTGGCTTTTTGATTTCTTTTTTTTTTTTGTCTGAGAATTTCTTTGCAACAGCACTTGTTAGACCGACAGCTGAAAGCTGAGTGAGGATTGGAGATGAATTAAGCTTGGCTTTGAGGTGGTGCAGAGGACTTGATAATGCTGTTCCCCCACCCTGTAACTCTTGGTAGGTTCAGTTCCTCCCAGCACTGCCCACCTTATGCCTCCCAGAGCCTTCTGCAAGCAGAGACTTGGCTCTGTGAGACGTACAGCTCAGTGCCTGGGGTTTACCCATCAGTGTGGGCACGTGAGCAGCCATGGAACACTAAAATAATTACATTTTAATTGGATATGAAAAAGAATTAGTAAATTAGTGTGACCTGTAGCTAGCAGGAGGCTTCTACAGACCTGACACTGATTTCACAGGTGTTTTACAAGGCACAACAGGAACAAAGGGTGAGTGAAGATGTGCAAGCTGAAGTCCTTGAGAAGTGATTTCGAAATTGGCATTGTGGAACTGCTTCCCAGTTTGTCTTAGATTGGCTCAAAACTGCATGAACTACTCTCATGAAGCAGAACTTGGGATCTCCTGAGGCGTTATTGGGTCTTGGCTGTGCTGGGAGTGCATTTCCCTGGTGTGTCAGTTTGCATGAGCAGGTAGAATGCCAAGAGAAAGAAGTGACACATCTCAGCAAAGCAAACTGAGGTGATCCAAAGTAAACACGGAAGGATGACCTGCACTGGGAAGAAACACATTTCAGATTACAATTTTCTTGCATGAGCTCTCCCTCACAGCCAATACATGTACAAATGAATGAGAGCAACTTTATTGTGCTGAGTGGAAATTAGGGAGCTACCCCTGAAGATAGGGGTACCCTGAATATTTTATTAGAAGTAGATGGTTTTATGATATTTAAGTAATTATCTTTTTCCATGGGTCTGAATGTCCCATTTGAAGGACATCACGTCATTTTCCAGTCCTGCCTCCCCTTCCGAAACCATCAGTTCAGGTAACAG